CTCGTTGAATTTTGACTGTTGAATTTGACATTATGAAATTGATAATCAGTGACTGAAATTCACAGAAAAAAATATTCAAGATGTTAAAAACATTCAAATAGATGAATTCAGGTCCATTTAAAATTCAATTTCTGATGGAACAAATAATCCATCTGTTTTTTTTACATTGAAAAAAACAAAATATTGAATATTTTGAGGGTGAATATGTCATATTGAAATTTTAATCACATTTAAATTTGTAAACTGCATTTTTAGTGACTGAAAAGTAAAGAATATTCTTATAAAAATATTCAAACTTGCTTTGTCAGGGTCAAAAATTTCAAACGGAAAAATTCAAGCCAAAAAAAATTTGAAAATCTGACGACACATAAAATCTTCCATAATACTGTATTCCACCAAAGTTGCTCTAATATCCTTCTAATATCTTCCTGCTTCCAGTCTTGCAAAGTTCTGAAAATGGCTAAACTGAGGCATGTTTATGTCTGACTGATGTGCGTCACATTTTGTAAGTCAGTGTTTTCAAGTGTGTGTCTCAGTGTTTTCTATCACAGAATGTGTTTGGTATTTTGAATAGATGCGTTTTCCCAATGATAACTCAGGATTGCATTTATGAACATAAGTGTCTTATGTATGACATAGTGTGTAGTGAGCAGGAGAAAGTGTGTTGCAGAAAGAGAAAGTGTGTTGTAGAAATGAAAGTGCAAATCAGTACTTTTTTATACAATGTATTATTCTTTCTCATAATGTCCATAAATAAAGCAAAGAAGACACAAGTATAAAGTGTAATAAAATGAACAAAGGTTTTGGCCCTTTACAAAATAATACATTATGAATTCGACCTTTGTCCAAAATGACACTTTTGATCAGGTGATTGTGATATGGTGTTGGATCAGAAATAAGTTGTATTCTCTGGACACAAAATGTCCACTAAATGTTTCTTATGAAAAGTAAAACTGGAAGGAAATATTCCCTGCTAATGTAACAAGTGCAGGAAGTTAGACCACATACTAACGTCATCTAGGGCTGTCTTTAACTCACTTGTGCAACTGGTCTGGGAGTTAGACATGAATTCTACTCTAGCGCAATCTTGCATCACCATGTGCTGAAGAATGTGAGTAGAAATGATAAGGAATGGCAGTAAACATTCCAACAACTGATAACAGCCACTTTCCCATTTCCAGAAAAGCTTACAGATGTTCTTTGGGGCATGAGGGGAGAGCTGCTTTCTCTGTAATCAGCAGGAAGACAATATATGGACAAAAGTGCAAGGACATCAGCAGGAAGTCTATTTATGGATATACTTTCTAAGGAAGTCCTTAAAAGTCCACATCTGTTAATGCCTTTGCATATATTTTTTTAAAAATATTTATATTTCTGGTTTTATAACATTAATGCAGTACAAGTACCACTGAATTACAGAGGAATCAGCTTGATAAGAAATAATTGATTGAAAAATAATACGTCACTTTACTTCACTGTACTGCTGTCACCTTACATTGTGTGCACCATGTGCACTTGTATATTGTAAATAGTAATTGTAACTATTTTAAATTTAAATTTATTCCTTAGTAGTGTTTTTTATTCTTTATTTTTTATTATCTCTCTCTGACTGTTGCACTGAGCCAAAGCAATTTCCTGTTACTTACGTGGCAATAAAAATGATTCTGAATCTGATTCTAAAACATTGGTAGATGAGCAGTATGGATTTAGGAAAAACAGTTTGCATTGACTACATCTATGTTTTGTCCTCTTTGTTGCAAGCAAGACTGATAACTCAACTGTTTTGTTGGTTTGATTTGATAAACAGATACATTCTGGACACTGAGACAGAGGACACTGTATCCAGAGCAGAAATGATTGTTGTCGCATGGTCCATCTTTCTTTTTTTGTAATAGTGTCATATAAGCCCATGCGGGCAAATGTGTGCATGGTTCTTAAATAAACAAGTTCAATAAAATAAAATAAAATGGACAAAAATGCAATTCTAAATGTGTGCCCTTAACGTTTGTTGTTTTATTTTGTGGCCTAACAAAAAACTTTTTGTGTGATGCAAAACTTGGTACCTCAATTTGACCTATTATTGGATGTCATGGTTGTCTAATAGTTAAATCATAGCGCTGTCAGTGACCCGGGTTCGAGTCCGGGAGGAATCTGTTTGTGTTTAATTATATAATATCACATTCTATTGTAAAAAGAATAATTTGAGACCATATGTACCCCAATTAAAATAATGTTAGTCTCTTTTTGATGTGGGACTTATACATAAAATTGAAGGGTGATGTACTCTGGAGCAAACCCTGATGTTGATACGCTGAAGAAATATGTTCCAATATGTTCTTCCCACTCCTATTTTGGACATCAATAGCTTATTTATTTTGCATAATCTATGTATAATTACATTACTTTTATTTTGTTTTGTTTTTTCATCTCAAATGTCCAAATTAAAAAACATTCAAAACCTTCATTCAACATTAGCATAGTTCATGGCAATGTGAGACAAACAACTGATAAAATAATTCCCTGTGTTTGCTGCTGGATTTGGTGTGTATCTGGCAACCTGAGTCAGGGAGAGTGGGAGAGGACTACAAAATATTGACTGTGACTAAAGTACCACTTTTGGCCAGATTTTTACATAATGCTCCTTTAATGACCAGCTTGACTCATGTATCTGTACTTATAAGATCATAAAAGACACCGGTGGACATTTATAGTGGATATTTGACCAAGAATGTTGAGCATTGAACAAAAACACTTTCAGATTGAAAAGGGGTGGGAGTGTCAGTCTAAAGTAACAGCCCTTTGGTCCACTTTTGATTGAATCCTAACGTAGATTCTGTTCAGAATGAGTAAATAAAAGTAACCTTTAGTCACAATATTTGCATAATATATAAAAAGACAGATGCAAAGCATGAGCTTTAAGCAAACTTTTTACAAAGAAAACGATTGAGACTTTGATATGAAAGTGGTCTTAAAAATGTTGAATCCAAACTATTGGTGTCGCTAACTATCGTGAAGAAAGTAATTCTAATCTACTGGAAATATTTTTAAAAACTATCCACATTACCACTTGGAAACACCTCCTAAATCATCTATCAACTGAAAACTACTCCCAGCTCTCTACACACACCTCTACCCGTCCAATCCTCTCCTTCCTTCAATCAAAGCAACTATACACTCAACACTCACACCCAAATTCACACATGGTTAAATATCTTACTGCAACAGCTGCAACTACAATAACAACAGAAAAAAAGATATATATGTATATAAACACAGATAAAAACATGTAATGGTGATGGAAATAACTACAATAACAATGGCACTAATAGCGGTAATAATGATGATGATAACAATATTGATATTGATGCTGATAATAATAATGATAATGATAGCAATAGTAAGGGTAATAACTATAGCAAACACAAATAGAACAGGGCAAGTGGAGAGGGCCTATCAATGAGGGTGAACAACCTGGAGTATATATTTACGTACAAATATATATATTTTTATTCATTTATGATATATATATATATATATGGATATAGTGAATGTCGCATATGAAATATGCATAACTACATATTGTTGGGCAGTAAGATGTCAGACCACTTGTTTTCCTTTTTAATCACACACCCATTGGTCACCATTCCAGGAATTACCTCCTCATATCCTCCCTTTCTCAGCTTTGTAATATATCCCACTAGCACACTCACACTAACACACACACGCACATACTTATCCATACCCTAACTTTCCCAGCTGTACCTTTGTTGTTTATTGTATTGTAATCAACAATGTTTTCTCACTGTTATCTGTATTCTGTGTTTTTTTCCTGTATGCTTGTCACTTTATGATTCTGAATAATAAAGGGAAAAAAAAAAAAAGAGTTGAATCCAAATTTGCTTCATGTCGGAGGTTGTTTCTCAGTGCTACCTTTTGTAAAGCAGTCGTATTGACCATGACGGATATGGAGGTCAGCTTGAGACTCATGATATAAACACTGCCCGCAGGTGACATGTTAAAAGCTTTTTATAAATCAGGCCAAAGACAGACTACTATAAAAATGACAGTGAGTTTATCACAAACATTTATTTCTTTAATGCTTAATCAAAGTTGTTTTACACAGACTATGAGACAAGCATGATACATAATACATGCATAACATTACATATAACCTATAACAAATACTTTTCTGAAATAACACAAATTAATATGAACAGTTTATTCAAAAACTTAATTATTGGCAACTTCTATAAATCTATAAAATCTCATTCCAAGGCACCGTTATCCTGTGTACAGGTGACTGATCTGAGAACGGGCTGGTTTCCAACTCAAAAAAACAAAGAGGCGGCTCTCCAACTTTATTTGCATGTGAATGATTTAGCTCAAGAAATGAAGAATGCCAACCTGGATTTAACTTTTGATGATTTGAATCTCAGTATGTTATCGTACGCTGACAATATTGTGTTAATAGCATGCAAAGAAGAAAAAATACAGAAAATGCTGGATATTATGAATCACTGGTGCACTAAACGGAGACTTTGCCATTCATTGTGAGAAAACGCAAATAGTTAACTTCAGGAAACACTCTTTTTTTAGAGCCATTGTTACTTCTATTTTGGTCAAACATTTCTAAATTATTCTTATGGTTTTGTTTTCCATGAGATAATGACTTTTTCTGAAGGTAGACAGGTCCTCTCAGACTCTGCAGGAAGGGCCCTTGGAGCTATAGTGAACCAAATCAAAGTTTGTCCTAATTTAGGTTTTAATATATATTCACCAAATGCTGTGATTCAATGTATGCTTCTAAGAGTTTTTGATTTTAGGTGTTTTGCTTTTAACTGTGTACCCTTTTTAAGGAGGCGGTACCCTTTGTAAGACGGCTGTGTTGTATAGCTGCTGCAGTGTGGGGCTTTAGCAAGGCTCCAGAATGTAATGTAGTTCAGTTATATATCCATGAGTTCAGTACAGAGCCATGAGATACTTCGTGGGAGTTCATAAGTTTACCCCCTGACCGCTAGAAGGGGAGTGGGACAGTGCACAGTGAACCCTGGTCCAATGAATATATCATATAAATGTACGTTTATACAATATTACTTCATCTTGCATCGGGCACATCTGCCACAACCCCAGGACACCCTTTTTCCAAACACTTACAAGTTGATGTAGTAAAGAGACTCTCCAGGGTTCCCTGAAATGAGAAAATAGAGTAATGACTTTCACCACACGTGCGTGTGTGGAGGACGTTTAAAATAGAAGAAAAACATACCGCACTATCTTTGAGGGTAACAGATCGACTAGTTTTATCTATTGCCCAATATTTTGTACGTTCTGCCATCTTGATACAGTAGCCATGATCTCCAGAATGGCACATTTGAAACCAAATGGATGTTGGTTGATTTCTCTCAATGACTTGTCTGACTTGTACATTCGCTTTGCCAATCTTGATCAGCTGTGAAGGTAAGTCACAAGTGCACGTTATACACTTTACAGCCCCTCTCATGCACGTGCACAATTGCCCCATACCTGGACGTTATCATTTTCATCCACTGAAACTATATAGTGTCCATCCTCCCTATCCTTAAAACAAAATGCTATTTTGTTGTCACATTTCCATATCTCCAAGTTAACTGTAAACACAATAACATACACATAAATTACAGATAATGCATTGTATGTAATATATGTATAGTATATATACTGTACCTCCCTCCTCACTGCTCGTGGCAACCAACTTGTCTCCACCACCCCCTAGTTTCACGTATTGCCCACATACATTCTTCAGAAACGTATTTGCACATTTGTGTAGACGCTGTATTACGTTTCCTGCAACACAAAACGTGATGCTCAAGTTGTGGCGAACTGATTTACCTGTAAACTTTAATATACACGTCGTACCGATGTGGTTGGATGTTCTGAGTCGGAGGATTTGGAAATTCGATTGTTTTAGATTGAGACATAAACCATTCAAATGTACATCACATGAGCCCGTTATGGACACGCTGTGAGGCTCTTCAGCATATCTTAAACGACTAAAATAAAACCAGATTTACCAAACAGTCTGCATGGTAGAAACAATAAACAAGCCCTCATCTATCAATTCAGAACTTACCGGTTGAAATCGTAGACTTTCACTCTGCCACTTCGTAAATACATGGTTAATGAGTCTGAGGTGAGATACTGATGAGCTGTAAAGAGTGGTGCAACCACAGCAGCTTAAAGCAAGTGTATCTGTCTGGAGAAGGGTCTGTCTGCGGCTTGCAGTACGGAGGCGTGTCGAGTAGTAGGCTTGTCGGGTAGTGACGTCACTACCCAACACGCCTACTACTCGCCTCCGTACTGCAAGCCGCAGACAGACCCTTCTCGCTGGACTGGCCATCGGGCGTACCGGGCAATGCCCAAAGGGCTGATGCCCATATTTGGGCCGGTCTGTCTGCCTCATACAAAACACATGTTTAGGAGAAGTGTAAATCCGTTGAGAATAGTTCGAGCGGGGCACGCGTATCCGCGGGGCACCTGCTGTATGCACTCGAACGGGATTCCGCCACCTCAGCGGCCGCAGTGTTCTGGGGCATCTGCGGCCGCTTTGTAATATGCAGCTTCCGCGTCCAGCCGCTCGCAGACGCTCCACCGTGTTGTGGCTGAGCGCGCAGCCTCAACGTGGCCATGTACCCAACCCCATAAACGCGCACAGGACCATAAGTGTCTTTGAGTAATCTGTGCACCCAATAAATACACTGCTGCAGGAAACAGTCCGCGTCTCCCCTCTCCTCTCGAAGCGCGATTAAACACCCTAAATAAAGCTCTGATACCTACATTTTGCATTGCATTAAAAGTTCATGTTTGAGTCCAAAAGTAATATGTTGTGAACAAATTAAACAGATTTAGAGCCAGCAAATGGCTGACAATATGCATTTCAGTCTTTTTTGACCAATTCTCATCCCTGTAACAAACAATAGTGTTGTCTGTGTCCACCTCCCTCACTCTGAGACATGTTTATTACTCTCTTGTAATGTAGACTATTGCATTTTATTTTATTGTTGAAACTGCACATATCCTGATCCTCTACAGTTTTTCTTTCCACATACTGTATATACTAGGAGTCGGCAACCTGCGGCTCCGGAGGCGCATGCGTCTCTTTCCTTCTGTAGAAGGAAAAACGTTCTTAACGTTTTTAAATGCTGTAAAATTGTGCATAAGTAATATTCAATTTAAACATTTCTGTCAACATAGTGTGTCATATCCTGCGACGTAGGCCCACGCCAGGCGGCCGCTGTTGTAAACAAACCGGCGTGTGAGCATCATAGACTGTGCGCATGGATCCCAAAGCTAAAAAGAGAAGAGTCAATAATAAGATTGGACTAAGAATGAAAATTAACATTTGCTTTCAGTCAATGAGGAAGACCTGCTTCATGTTTGCGATGTAATGAGAAGTTTCTATGAGATAATTGTATATGTGCTTAGAAACTACGAAAATGGCCGCTCGGGGTGGAGTTGAACCTGTGTCACCTGGATGGGGGCGTGGTCAAAAGCGTCTCATTTGCATTTAAAGAGACAGCACCAAAACAGGTTGCTCTCAGACGCCCCTCAGAACAGGTGTAGAAGAAAGGCCTGTAGAGCTACAAATAATGAGACTCAGACCCAGGCATTGCAGTTACGCTTTATATAGGCCACAAATTAATGATTTAGATGTAAAAATCAATTATTTCAAAACATGATATGTCCACTTTAAAATTCGTGTAGTAGGCGTGTCATATAGTGACGTCACTACACGACACGCCTACTACGCGACACGCCTCCGTACTGCAGGCCGCAGACAGACCCTTCTAGGTTAAAGAGCAGTGCGCCGTGACGCACCCACACGACGTGTGCGCTAGGGGAATATAGCCCTCTAAAGTTATAGGCTCCACAAACCGAGGCAAACTCAGTTATGTTTGAAGAGGCCAGGAGTGAAGTCGTGAATGCAAACGGAGGAGAACGACAAAAGATGCGGTGGTCTGGGGAATCGTGTCAGAGCAGAAGATATGCTATTGTTGGTAAAGAGACACGACCAAAGTTGTGCACAGTACATGTGGTTTTATACCAAGCCCCGGCGATCCAAGATGGCGCCCTATTCAGATGAATGGTTGTGCTCAGTGGCGCTTTGTGACGGCATGGGGGCTGAAAGATTAGCGGAAGTCGCCTGGAACTCGCAAAGATCTATGGGAAACTCGCAAAGATTTATGGGAAACTCGCAAAGATCTATGGGAAACTCGCAAAGATTTATGGGAAACTCGCAAAGATCTTTGGGAAACTCGCCTGTATTTGGGCATCGTCTGGTCCTCCCGGTTCTGCGCAGTGGATGATCTCCCATGATGCGTTGCGTCAAACACGCGTGTGTGGGTCTCACACCGGGTCTCACGCACGTGCACAGAGGGGCTCGGCTGCGCTCTGACCAATCAGAGCAGTTCATCAGCGCGGGAGTTAGAGCGAGAGCCAGACGAGCAGAGTTTGTGGCACTAAAGTGTGGATTTAAACAAAGCCGAAGGATTTAAGAAGAAAAAAAGTTCACGATGACAAGGGACACTAAAATCCCCACAAATTCCGACCTTTATGAAAGCTGTAGGTTCTCTGACAGCTGAGGTTGAGCTGTTTTAATATGCATTGAGTTCTATGGGGAAATTTTCTGGGTAGCCCACGTGAATTTAGTCTGGTCTAGGCTGCAGTACCGTGAGAATCCCCTGAGCACATGAGTTATTCAGCCACAAGCTAGTAATACCCTATCCAGTTATTATAATAGATCCATGTTTTATACCAGCAGCGTCAATGACGCTCATCTGCATCTGTGACGTCACAACATAGGAACAGCCACAAAGACACAGTTCGCAGCAGTCTACCGGAGTCTAATCAATTAATGCTAATTCTTTGACTGAAGAAGGTAAACAAAAAAAAAGATATCCAGAAAAGAATAAATATAACAGGGATCCATGTCCTCTGCCTGAGCAACATCACCTGAGTGAGAATTGGAGCGAACACATGTGGGACCTATGATAACTACCTGTACCTTATCAACACGCCATCTCTGCTTACCACAGGGTCGATGAAAGCATACAAATCTGTAGAATTACGTATTATATGTTTTAATCCAGGAAAAGTAGTAAATGTGTTTCAACTTGAGGCATTATATCACAGTGCTTAGACCCCACCCCCATAGACCCCATAGATATGTACCCATTTCCTAAACCACGCATCGTTCAAGCCTGACATGTACAGTAAATGCACTACATAAACATATCTATTCGCTGTTGGTTTGAAAGGTTTTTTGCCACATTACCCAAACTTACACATTTAACATTTAAGATAAGATATGATAAGTTAGACTATTTTGATTTCACACTGGAAAAATGTACATGGATAGAATCACTGAAGATGTGCAAAAGACAGTGTGCGAACATGTTAAAGGTTAAAAGTCTGCGCAGGATATAATTATGTAAAATAAAAAGGGGCAATAGCAGTGCAGGTTTTTCAGTACTAGTGCGTTAGTGACTTAAAGTGACTTATTGTACAGCGGTGGGGATAAAGGCCCTGTGGTAGCGCTCCTTCTTGCACTGAGGGTGCCTCAGTCTTCCACTGAAGGAGCTCCTCAGCTCCACTACAGTCCTGTGCAGTGGGTGGGAGGTGTTGTTCATGATGGAGGTGGCTTTGACTAGCACGCTCCTGTCCCTCACCTCCTCCACAGAGACCAGGGGGCCGCCCAGAGTGGAGTGAACCAGCTTGTTCAGTGTGCTCCTGTCCCGCTCTGTGGAGCAAAGTTACAGGTTTTTACCCAGTAATTTCTGGTCCAATCAAATGTTTTACTCATTGTCACATGTATATTACAGTTTCTCAGTCTTATGCAGTAGGTTGCTCATTATGGACTGAGAAAAATCAGTGCATTGTCCATTTCAAGGTGAGGTGTGGAATAAATTAACCACTTCCTCAGATATCTGATGGGCAAGATCCTTCATAACAGCACAAAATTGGCTCTTTGTCCTTCACAGGTCCATGACATGGCTTTCTGAATATTAACCCATCCATTGGGTTAGAAATGACCAAGTTAGGAGAACCTGCTTAAGTGCCATCTGATTGGCAAAAGAGGATGCAGATTATACAGGTTTAAATTGAGTGAATGGATTTTATGGTAGAGTTCTGGCAGCTGCAGTTGCCAATGTGTAATTGTATAAAGGTATAAAAACTGTAAATTTTACAGTTGAAAATATGTTAAACTACACTCTTTTGTTATAAAAAATGCCTTACGTTTTTATGACATATTATTGTTGTTAATTTGACAGTAGTAAACTCACTAAAACCTTTAAGACCATGTTCAACTGTAAAATATATTAAAGGGAGACTGTAAATTTAACGGTAGAAAAATGATAACTCAAACCGCCAGATTTTCACTGTAAAATATGTAGATTTGTTTGCAGTGTGGCAGCATTGGTGGAAACATTCAATGTTTCATCAATAGTGATAAAGTAAAAGTGACCCACAGTGTGCCATAAACCTATTTAAAGCTTTCAGCTCATCCAAAATACAACAGCAAGGATTTAACAGGCACTAAAAGGAGCGAACATTTAACTCCACTGGCTGTGGAGTACAGAATCAAATTTAAAATCCTTCTGATTAGGAGGCCATAAATGGTATATCCCCTTTTACCTCCAAGAAACTGCTGAGAGACATAGGAGACAGTGGCCAGAGTCAGCCATCAAAGCCGCATCAGAGGCAGCAGAACGAAGCAGCCTTCTTTTCTCTTCAGCTCTGGCTGAAGAGAAACGACCCCAGTTGGGCCCCAAAGTAGTGTAACATCCTTCTGAGACATCATCATGACTAATTGGGCTTGGGACGCAAGCTCAGGATTGATCACCCTGTAGCTGGCCGCCTCTGGGGAGGGTGTATATGCCGAAACATCCTATGAGCCAGAGGAACACTAAACTGACGCAACTGATGATGCGTCCCATAAATTTTAGCAATGAGTCAGGTCTACTATTTACCGTCTAGTCCGCCAACTACTTGTATGTGCTCGCACATGGATAGTAACATCTTATCCTGTGTTTCTGAAATTGGTTAGCATCAGATCAACCAAACCACGCATAGCGCTCGCAAAAGCCAGACTTCTGGTTGTTCCTGGAGTGACAAAA